CTGGAACTTATTCTTGCTAGCTGGAACAGTTTTTCTGGTGATGCATTTGCTTGCTAAATAATCAATCCACCTAGCTCATATCCCAGGAACTCAACTTCTGTGAAGTCTCCAAATTTCATAAACCTTTCAGAACAGGCCATCACTCAGGATACAAGCTAGAGAGGAGACGAGACCTCCAGTCTCTTCTCAGCCAAAGCTCAGCAAGTCTCCTCTGAACTGGGAATGTCAGATCTTCTTCCACAAAAGCCTCCAAGTTTCTTGTAAACTGGCAGTGAGACCAGGACAAAAGAAGAGATGAAACCAATGCTTCATCAGACTGCAAGTAACAGTGAACTAAAGGAAGTTATCAAAAGAAAGATAAATACTTCAAAGAAGAATAGGAGAAAAAGAATTATCTGGGGACAGACTTCAGCAAGCGATACTAAAGTTATACTCTTATTTGGAGCAACACACAAGATCGGGAAAGGAAAGGATAGAGCTTACCCGAGACTACCTAGCAAGCTAGCTGGTAAGCTCTGTCTCTATTTTCCTGTGTTATCAACTTTACAAACTGTCAGAATAGGAGGGACCTTATAGAGAATGAATCATCATCCAAATTCCTCAGTATTAAGATGAGAAAACTAAGGCCCAGATAAGGTAAATGACTTGTTCTAGATTAGACAACCAGCTAAAATCAGCACAGAAACTAGAAAGAACTCAGTTTGGCTTAATCTTGCTTCCCTGGTGCATAGGGGCCCTCTCCCTATGGAGTGGGAAAAGCAGCGAGGAATCCCAGAAATTCTGTCACACACTAGCCTTCAGGCCATGATGTCTGGGCTCTTCATTTCTTCAGAAAAGGTTTCAAGTACTATTATGATTTGAATATGAGAATCACTTATGTTCTTTAGCGCTGGAGACATGGTAATCAATGCATTTTTAGGAAGACAAAACATAAACTCTCATTAAATAACCACAATATAACTCAGACTATCTTTAAGAATTAAAAAGAAAGTAAGCAGATAATATATTGGAAGCGAGCAAAGATGTTTCAAAACTACCAAGATCTAGCTTTAATTGAAAGATAAATACAAGAAGTATTAGCACACTGCATATAGAAGGGAGCTTGTAGCAAGATGAAAACCACTACAGATATACATAATTACTGAAAAGTTGCTGGAGCATCTTCTACTACCCAACTCTACCCCTTCATAAAAGTAACACCAAAAGAGCACAAGTCCAGTATATAGGTTTCTCTAAAACCAATGTTCTTACTAAATGAAATGTAAAGGCTATCTTTTTTCTTTCTTTACGCTTAAAAGACGAATCAGGTTAAACAAAGCATATTATCATAGAGGTCAGCATCGAATTTTTTAAAAATGAACATATATATATATATATATATATATACACACACACACACACACACACACACACACACACACACACTCCAAAGAGTCCAGGGTTTAGACACACAAAAGCATTACAAAACACGGAGTGTGGCTGTATGAGTAAGAGAGATATTTACATATTCTATTAAATAAATTCACTGATTGCTTTTCTACTCTCCTACTTTAAGGATTAATACTTAAAATCCTAGAATGAAAAATAAAAAACAAAAAACATTGGGGAGACACCAACCAGGTACTTGATAATTTCTCATTTAATCTTTATAATACCTGTTAGGCTGAGTATTATTTATCCCAATTTAAAGATGAGAAAATGGAAACTGAGAGGGCAACTCAGTCAAGGTCACATTGCAACTAAGTAGAGGAGCTGGAATTGAATCCAGATCGTCTTAAGTTCAGGCTCTTGTCACTACACCAACAGTTCTCAAAGTGTGGCCTGCAAACCTTTTGGGGTGCCCAAGACTTTTTCAGGGGGTCTAGAAAGTCAAAACTATTTTCATAAAACTACTAAGACTCCATTTGCCTTTTCACCATGTTGACATTTGCACTGACGATATAAAAGCAATAGAGGGTAGAGCTGCTGGTGGCTTATTATGAATCAAGGCCGTGGCACCAAATTCCACTAACAGTCACTGCATTTGTCATTGCTACTCACTTGCAATACAGACACTGCCCGTTTCAACTAAGAGTGCCCTTGATGAAGCAGTAAAAATTAACAATTTTACGGAATCTCAGCCCTTGATTACGTGTCTTTTTAATAATCTGTGTGACAGAATGGGACATATGCATAAAGCCCCCTGTTGCATATCAAAGTACCATGGTTGGGGCTGAAGGAAAAGTACTTGTGCAATTGAGTTGAGAACTACGCTAGCCACTTTTCTTTTATTTTTAAACAGAAGACAATTTTAATGTGAAAGACCGGTAAGCAATGGCCATTCGGACTTGATTATTTGGCAGATAATTTCTCAAAAATGAAAAAGTGAGCCTGTCATTTCAAGGAAAACAACTATATCTGTTGCCAATGATAAAATTCAAGATCTCAACACTTAGAATTTTTTGAAATTTGCCACCATGAGACTCTTGTGATGAAATCAGTTGTGATAATGACAAATGTGACTTTTCGATATTATATAAAGAAATGTGTTAACATTTGCAAGACCTGCATAACTCAGTAAGCCAGTATTTTCCAATTGACCGATACAGGATATTACAAGATCATACATGGGTAAAAGCTACTGACCTTCACACATTTATTTTATTTTTAAAAACAGTATATCACTCTGTAACCCAGGCTGGAGTGCAGTGATGTGACCATAGCTCGCTGCAGCTTCGAAATCCTGGACTCAAGCAATCCTCCCACCTCAGCCTCCTGAGTAGCTGGAACTGTAGGTATGCGCCACCACATCCGGCTAATTTTTACAATTTTTTGTAGAGACAAGGTCTTGCTATGTTGCCCAGACTGGTATCAAACTCAAGCGATCCTCCTGCCTTGGGATTAAAGGCATGAGACACTACACCCAGCCTCTTTACACATTTAAAGTATAAAATGGACCAGTGGATTGTTAGTGTAATAGAGTACAAAAACTTCATCGATATGATTTCGGATTCCACATTGCAGCTATCTTTGAAGAAACCACCACTTGTCAAGTTTCACTGTAGTATCAAAGAAGAATATCCATAATTATTTGAAAAGGCTATTAAAATATTCCTCCTTTTTTTAAAACACCTACCTGTGTAAGGCTGGATTTTATTTATATACTTCAACATATCACAACAGACTGCATGCAGAAGCACATATGAGAATCTAGCTGTCTTCTATTATGCCAGACATTAAAGAGATTTCAAAAACAATTCTCAATAATTTTTTACTGTGGAAAATATTTCTCATAAAACTATGATTTATGTTAACATGTAATAGGTTTACTATTTCTAAATGAATTAGTTTTTATTTTCTCATTTCTCA